AAATTAACTAACCTACTTGCTGGATGTTTAATAAGTTGCCAGGTTTCAGTGTTTAGAATACGTGATTTCCTTTCATGAAAAACTAGCATAGACAAAGTTGAAGTAATCCATTAAATATTATGATACTTGTATGGAACTAGAAATGTTGAATAAATGTAATTAAATGTAGAAGCACAAATGGTAAAAAAAACAAAGTTTGATCAAAGTACAACAACGTTTATAACCTTTCGAGTGTTTCATGTGGATAATGGTTTTACATGCCAAAAGATAAATTTTATTGTTAAATGATTTAATCATATGTCATATTGATATAATACAAAAATATAGCACGACGTGCCAGGTTTTTCAGCCAAAAAATAAACAACTTTTGTTTCAATGACATCGATTTAGTCATAATAATATAAATGAGTTATCGATCCAGAAAACTTTGTGTACAGGAGATTGGTAAACTAGCACATATAAAGAAATTTAACACGCACAAATTAACCATTCAGTTTAGAGTTTAATATTTTACTCCATATAGAGTTATACACGGACTTTTCTCTACGTTAAAATACTTTTATCTTATTTGAGAGCTTTCGTGCCCTCTTACCGGAGCCTTCATCAGGAAACAATTGTGTTATCTTTTGTAAAATAAAATACTTGAAAGGTTATAAACGTTGTTGTACTTTGATCATATTTTGGTTTGTTACTATTTGTACTTCTACATTTCATTACATTTATTCAGCATTTCTAGTTTCATACGAGTGCCATAACATTTAATTGCTACACGCTGTTGCCCGACGAAGGCTCAGGTAAGAGAGCCGAAAGCTCTCAAATAAAATAAAAGTATTTTAACATAGAGAAAATCCTACGTATTAATTTACCTACGTTATGAGTCTTTAAAAACATTCACACTTCAAGAATATAAAACGATTTGTGTGAAATGTTTAAAACATGTCTTTATAAAGTGATTTCGAAGATGTTTTGTACAAAAACAATGGTTTTGGCAGCAGTAAGAGCTGAATGTATCTTATTCTAACTGCACGTGCCTATGCCTATAGACAGTGGTGATAGGAACTAACCGTAATTATTATATAGAAGTCTTGAGAACGTGGTGTAAGAACTGAGTATAACTTAAACTAATTATAGAAGCCTATATATAGACAGAGGCATAAGTTATTAATCCATATCACACTAACTATAGAAGCCTTTATTCAAGAGACCAACTTTAGTGTTAATGTAATTTACGTTTCTGTATTTATACTCTTTTTTTATAGTTCTAATTGATTTGCTCGATTATTTCGTCATTCCAGATTGTTCCTGGTATCTTTGATTTGTTGTTAATACGGTCACGTGATTAGTTTCCTTTTTAGCCGTTTAAAATTTTTAATATATAATTTTATATATTTTAATGTTCTTTAGACGAAACTCAAGTGCCTCCTTCATATTGTGCTTATTGCAAGTAGAAAGTGTTACTATGAACATATTTTAGTCTTCAATAAGTTTGAAGTTGGAATAGTAAAATGTATATCTAAACAATATAGCACTACACTATTTTTACATAGACACGAAGGCAATAAAAATCCATTCCACAGTTATTACAACATTATGAGTTAACAAAGGTTTGCCTACATTGTTGAACTTAAAATTTCCAATGCCACAAAAAATGAGAAACAAAAGCAGATTAAATTATCAAAATAATTTATAAAATCTAGTCATTACGACTTCATTACATTTTGGTATGATAAGTAAAGATGTTTGGTAAATCGTTACAACAAGTTACTTTACACAAGCTTAATAATGAATAAATGAAGTAACGAAATAATATTTTTAATAAGCTAAAAATATTTTTGTTTGTTTGTTTGTCGTTGAGCACAAATCTGCACAATGGACTATCTCTACTCTGCCTACTACGGGTATCGAAACCCGATATTTAGTGTTATAAAATCTCAGATTTCCTACTGAGCCAACGGGGGACAGCATCCTTTCTTATTTATTAAACTGGTGAGTTTAACAAATTTCCCTACTGTAATTTACAATTTTAAAAGTTTACATCATACATTAGGTTCTTTCAAGCAAAGATATATCAGTGTTCCGGAAGAATATTTTTGAAATTTCAATTACATTACTTTTAGGACATCGGCTACTTTTTACGAAACATTTTGTCACTGAATAAAGGTGCTTCCATTACAGATAACATTATTTATTTCTCGGTTTATTATTAAAACTGAAAAACAAACCTTCGTGCAAACCCTTCTTCCTCTTCCTACCATTTATTTTCCTCCAAACCTCAAAGGTCCCCCAGTGGCACAGCGGTATGTCTGCGGACTTAAAACGCTAGAAACCGGGTTTCGATATATACCCGTGGTAGGCAGAGCACAGATAGCCCATTGTGTAGCTTTGTGCTTAGCTTCACACAAACAAAACAAACCTCAAGGAATAAACAACAAGTTCAATTGCTCATCGCAAAGCGATTTCATATTAAAGAATGTTAAAGTTCCCTGGTTGTACGAAAAAAGAACAAACACTCCTATTGTTTGAATATGCTTTTCTATCGCCCCCCAGTGGCACAGCGGTATGTCTGCGGACTTACAACGCTAGAAACCGGGTTTCGATATATACCCGTGGTAGGCAGAGCACAGATAGCCCATTGTGTAGCTTTGTGCTTAGCTTCACACAAACAAAACAAACCTCAAGGAATAAACAACAAGTTCAATTG